CGAGGTGCTGGTGGGCTGGTCTGTTTCATTCTCCCAGGGTGGGCCTCAGGCTCCCTACGTCCCCCCACCTGCCGCGCCCCACCTCCAGGCCCAAGCTCAGTAGCCATTTGTTGAAAGAACGAAAGACACTCAAGTGTTGACATCCTCAACGCGAAGGTTTTCTGAGATGGGAAGGGAGAGGCCTCCCAGGGGCGCGGGCAGGTGACCAGGTTCTGAGCGAGTGATGCCCCAACCTTGCCCAGGCCCTAGTTCCACAAGGCCAGCACCCCCAGGGTCCCACGTGTCCACCCTGCCTCTGCCCTCCGTGCGACCCTGCCAGGTCCGTGCCAAGCTCCACCCGCCCCCCCCCCAGACCTCAATGCCCCCAGGACCTCTGCTGGCCTCCACGACTCCCCCATCCCCTCCCCCCGCAGGCCTGAATAGAAACTTGGCCTTGGGCTGGAAGCAGGAGCCAGAGTCTGAGGGTGGAGGGTCGAGCAGAGGGGGGTGCGGCTGTTGCCACCCAGAGAGCCAGCTGCTGGAAGCAATTTATTTTTGCTTTAAGTGCTGGAGAATTGCAGGGCTGCAGCCGCCAGCACGAGGGGCGCAGGCTGCAGCTGGAAAGGGAGGAGCAGGCTGGGGGGGTTGCGGATGAGGGATGCCACACCTCCTCCTTGACCTCCCCTGCCCCTCCTGCTCCCCCAGCTCTCTCCCGCCAGCCCCGGCTGAGCGGGCAGGCCCTACCCTGTGCCCTTGGGTGGGGGCTGGCCCTCTCTGGCCTCAGGCTGCCCACTCCCATAAAGGCGGGGTCACACCCTCGCCCCTACCCTACCCCACCCCCCCAGACACCTCCTCACAGGGAGAGCTGCCCAGGTGAGCCTCAGGCCGCCTCCGTGCTGGGCCCAGGCCACACCTGTATGAAGCGCTCGCTGGCTTCTTAGAGGTGAGATGGATGCCAGGAGAGCCTGGCCAACTAGCAAGGGCTGCTGGGCAAAGAAAATGAGCAACGGCCACCAGTAGCCAGCAAATGCTTGTGACGGGTGCTGCCGCCCCCTCCCCCACCTCCATGGGCTCTGCTGGGAGCAGGCGCAGAGGCTGGCCCATTCGAAGAGCTCCGCTGCTTGCCTCAGTTTGCGCAGAGCTGCAATGGGACGGCTCCCGTCGCTTGCCAGCATCGGGGTGGGGACATCCTGAGCTGGAAGCTGACCAAGCACAAAGGGACACGGCGAGGCTCAGAGCCTGCAGCAGAGGACGGCACAGACACAGAGTCAGGGCGCAGCCAGAGGCTCAGCAGGGCCGACTCCCAGCTCCAGCCCCGACCTGACGTCACCCCTCTGAGGCTCGGTGTTCTCATCTGCAGAATGGGACAGTCATTCTGGCAAGTGCTGCTACTAAGTACCACAAGGAGGGGTCTCCCCCCGCCCCGTGTGCTCACTGAGTACCTGCTGCACACTGGCAGAGCAGGTGGCACATGCAAAGGCCCTGAGGTGGGCGCAGACCCGGTCTGTGGCAGACACAGCCAGGGAGACAGAGGGGTGGGGGTGAAGCCAGGCCAGGACCATGGAAGGCCCTGATACCCAGTCGGTGTCCTGTACATGGTACGTGGTGAAGAGACAATAGCTGGGGCTGACCAGAGTAGCCCCATTCCACCAGCTTTCCTGTTGGTCCCCCCGCCCTCCTCCACATCCGAGTCCCAGGGCCACAAGCAGGGGAGGAGAAGACAAGGGAAAGGGCCTACCTGCACTCCACGTCTGCTGAGACACAAGCAAAGGCTCATGTCTCCACTCCCCCAACCCAGGGGCTCCCAGCAGCCTCCACGGCTGGTGCTTTGGTGCCATTGCACAGAGGAGAAACTGAGGTACAGGGACTGGGTCTCAGTGGCACGGCCTGCCTCTCTTCCCCCTGCCTAACTGCCCTCGAGCCCCCTCCTACACAGGGAGACCCCCAAGGCCAGCAGCCGGGTCTCCACTCACTCAGCAGCCAAGGATATGCGCCCTCTGTATGCCGGACGCCATGCAGGGGCCCCAAGTGAGCCCACGCTCAGCACAGCAAAGCCAGAGCTGCCCCCTGAGGCCTTGGCCAGCAAGTTCTGAGCCCCTGCTGCATGCCAGGCCCTCACTGCGAAGGCAGGCAGCTTCCAGGCCTGTGTGAGGCCTGCCTGGAAGTGAAAAAGCGAAATGTTCCCAGGCCCCAGGGAAGGAGCAGCTCTGTCGCCCCCCGCCCTCCAGGGGAGCAGCAGGGTTCCGGGCCCAAGGGGCACAGGCCCTGGTCTCTCCAGAGCCGCTCCCGGCCTCCTCCCTCTGTCTGCACAGCGGCGCTACCGCCACCCTCCACACTGGCAGGCCATTAGGAAATTAAATCCGCTCACAGAGCACCGGGCCCTCGGCCAGTGCCTAGCAAGCGCTCTGCTCCTGCTCCGGGGCCCAGCTCCTCTGAAAAACCCACCAGCCCCACCCCCGCGGCGCCTCTGAAGTCTTCGGCCCAGTTTCGGGGCTTTTATCTTCAGGTTTTCCCTGCAGCCGGCTCCCTGCCGAGCGGCCAGTGCCCCGTGGGGTCCAGCCCACGCCCACCACACCTTCTGCATGGCCGGCCCCCTCCCAGCCTCTCCTCTGTGCCAGCCCGTGGCAGGGCTCCAGTGGCAGGCCCCAGGGGAGGGGCAGGTGTGCCCATGTGTCACTCACAGTAAAGCCCTGACTGGCGCCCAGCCACAGGCACCAGCTGCACCTGTCAGAGGGAGGGCCCAGCCCAGAACCTTGGCCTGCCAGCCATGGGGGAGGGGCCGAGGTGGCATCCAGGTGGGTACCAGGGTGCACTAGCACCCGCGGCCTGGGGGATTGGTGGAGGAGGGCCTGCCGAGGGCCACAGAGCTCACTGGGAGTAACGACACAGGCACTTCCGCCCCAGCCGTGCGAATGCCAGGGCCTCTGGGTGTCATGCCTGGTACTGCCAATGTAGCCCCAGGCACCGGAGGCCTGGCTGGGCCAGAGGGAACTGCCTGCGGGCAGAACGGGCCCCAGTGCGACAGCGCCGCAGGGTGCTGTTGGCTTGGTCTTGCCACTGCCACCGTCACTGCTGTCCCTGCCATTTCACTGTTGCAAGCCGCCCAGAGTTCTGGGGCAGGAGGGCTGCAGGAGACAGTCTCTGGCCTGGCGGAATCAGAGGAGGGCTCCTTCCTGGCCGACCCTCACTGTGTGGCTCTGGGCTCCTCCTCCTCCTCTGAGCACAGCTTGGCTCCCTGAATCCCATCCCCCTAGCCCAATCTGGAACACACCTGGAAGATCTATGGAGCTCTGGCGAGGACAAACAAATGCAGGCCCTGCCTCCTTCCCCAGGAGAAAGCTGGGGAAGGGGGCTCAGCCACGCCCTCCCCCTGGCCAGGGGAACGGGAGGAGGTAACAGCCTTGGGGCTGGCACCTGCTAGATCTGTGGCTGTGCAGAACAGGGATCTCCAGGCGCACTCCTGAATCCCGTCCCTGTCCGCAAGGGTGCTCAGCAGGGTCCCCTTCGAACCCTGCTCTCTTGGCACCCCTGATGGAAGCTCTCGCAGTCCCAGGGTCCCCTCCCACAGGTGCGATCCTAAGTCCCCTCTGGCTGCCTAGAGGCGGCCCCAGGACACCAAGGGGCAGCCATTGCCGAGTCTCCTGAGGGACCCCTTTCCGACTTCTCCAAAAGCCGACAAGCCTCTGGTGGCGCTCAAGGCCGAGACCAGCCTCTCCCACTCTCCGTGACCCTCTCCCGCCACATGGCGGCCGTCCAGGGCGGAGCTGCCCGCCGGAGGAGGGGCCCCAAACGTGCAGCCTGGCCCAGGGGGAGACTGGAAGGCCCCGGCCGGACAGCAGTCAGGGTGTGCCGCCCTTGGGCACCTCCGAGGGGGCGAGGGGTAGTCCGCAGGCTCCCGCCTTCTGGGTTCGCACCTTCAAGGAGGCGGCTGCCGATTTCGGCGGCGTGTGGGCGCCTCGGCGCTCCCAGGAGATGCAGCCTGCGAACCCGGGTTCCGAGACGCCCGTGTGAGGGACAGGAGGTCCCCAGCGCTGTATGGCAGGGCTCCGGCCTGGGCACGGGAAACACGAAATGGCCACAGGCAGCGCGACGCGCCAGGATAAGCAGGCGCCCCCCCACAACTCCCTCCCAGAGTGGGAGCAGGGGCACCAGGTCCCCGCGGCGGGGAAGCAGGAGGGCGCCTCCCACATCCACGCTTTCCCGTGACCCCCGTGGGCAACGCGGAGACAAAACAAGCACGCTCCACCAGAACCAAAGCACAGACTCCGACCCGGGCCTCACCCCCCATCCGCAGCCGCCACCTGCCCTGGGCGCCCCCTGAACCCCTGATTTCCCAGCCCGCTCCCCCCAGAGCGGCCAAGTGCGCGCGCCCTCAGGGGCTTCTCAGCCAGAGGCCAGCTCCCCCGAGACCAAGGCCGACTTCTGGAAGCTAAAAGGAGCCTCTCTAGACTCGCTGGCGGAGAACCATTTCCAGAAATTTTTTTTTCTATATTGGCGCACAGGAGGTGGAAAAGAGAAACGACTCCAAACACCCGCGGATCTCAGGCCCGGGCACCCTCCCAAAGCCTCGTGCAGCCCGCGCGCCCCGCGCCGAACCCCCACCTCGCCCGCGGGGGTCTCCGGGAAGGTCACGCGTAGGACCGCCGCGCGCTCCGAAGTGCGTCCGCATGTTCCCTTCCGAGCCCACCTCCCTCCAAAACACACACACCCACCCACCGTGCCAACCGGCCGGAGGTGATCCAGGGCTCCTCAAAGTTTCCCGGAGCGCCCCCCGGGACCAAGGTTAGCCGGGAGCAAAGTTCCCTGGTGGCAGTGGCCCGAGACACGGCAGGGTAAGGAAAGCTCGCACTCAGCATTTCCTGCGATGGCTCACCCAGGGAGCGAAACGAGGAAGAAGCCCTCCCGCCCCACCTTCCCTGTTGCTACACCGCCTCGTGCTGCTCCAGGCCGGGAGGCGGCCTGCGGAGAGCCCGGGGCCGGGCCCTGGGGGGAGCGGCGCGCGCCGGAGGCCGCGCACTTACCTCGGTCCGTGGCCGGGGCGCGGCGCGCTCCGCGTCCTCCGAGCTCCAGGCGGCCGTCCCTGGCCCCGGCCGCCGCCGCGCTAGCTGCATTGCCGCCGCCGCCGCCGCCGCCGCCTCAGGGCAGCCCGCGGGGGCGCTCCATGCCGAGGGGCGCGTCCGTCTGGGACGCGGATCGCCAAGCTCCAGCCACGGGTCGGGGGCGCGCGCCTGGACGGCGCCCCCGGCCGCGAGGCGCTCTCTCGGGCGGGCGCGGCTGGCGTCCGTCCCTCGGTCCCGCGGTGAGCGCGGCGGCCCACCCCCTCCCCCGCCGGCTGTTATTTGATGCCGGGCAGGGCCCGGCGCGCTCCCCCGCGCCCTGGCGCCCCGCACCTCCCCACGGGCTCCGGCCACGCCAGGCCCCCTCCCCGGCTACGGTTCCCAGGGAGGCGGCGGTGGCGGCGGCTTGGCGGTGGAGAGACGGGGAGCGAGGAATGGAGGGCGAGGAGGCGGCGGGAGGCAGAGGCTCAGCGCGCACCCAGCTCCGCGCCCTGCTGCCACCGGAGCCCGGCGCGGCAACTCCTCCAACTCTCCGCCGAGAGCACGCCCGCCCCGCGCCGCGCCGCCGCTGCCCCCGCCCACCGCGGCAGCGGCCGGGCCTGGCGCCCCCTCCGAGCTCTGGGCCGCCCCCACCCCACCCCGCCACACACACACACACACACACACACACACAGCCAGCCACTTGCGCGCTGGGACGCGCGCGCGCACGCACACACACACACACAATCACATCCTCCCGGGGACACACACACACACACACACACACACACACAGGTATGCACGCACAGACAGGAGAATCCGGAACACGTGTGCACACAGTCGGATACCCAGACTTGGGCGTCGCACCCTCACGTGCAAAGTGCGTGCCCCCGCATGCATGCCGGTAGCAGGTGCACAGGCGTGCACACACCCTCATAGCTGCGCATGCAGGGTGGTATCTGCACATGTGTCCACGTGCACACAGCTCGGCTCGTGCACCCACCAGGCACACGGCATCTCTCTCCTGCTCTGCCTGGCTTCCTCCCCTGCTTTCTCCTCTGTGCTCCACCCCCCTCTGCCGACTGACCCCCATGTGACCCCTTTTTCTTGCCCACCGGACTCTGGAGGCCAGGCTTTCTTCCCAGCCTGTCCCCAGGTGCCCTGCCCTCCCAGCCTCCCTGGGGCTCATTGTCTGGGCTTCAGTTCTCTCTGCCTCCTGCAGGGTACCGGCCTCTCATCTAGCAGAGAAACCTGCCCAGCTGCGCCCCAACCCAGGGAAACCCCATTTTATCAGGGTCTGACCCCACCACCACCACCACCACCACTCAGCCCCAGGGCCGCAGAATTGGGCCACGGAGGCAGGGCTGTGCCCAGAGCCTCAGCCTCAAAGGGCTCCCCGGCCCTGTCGGCCTCCAGCCTTCCCTTTAATGTGAAATATAATTATGTGTCTGCACAGCAGGGAGACTGGCTGCAGCGTTCTAACCAGGGAGGAGGGCTCTCTGGCCTGCGCCCAGATGGCTGGCAAAGCAGAGAGGCCTGCCGGCCCCACCTGCTCCAGGCTCCAGGCAGCTGGCAGGTGCCTCCCAGGGTGGGGTCACTCCTTGGAGCACTCATCAACCTCCCCTGGCCGCCCTGGGTCTGAATCACATCTGCTGGGGAGGCAGGTGGCTTTGCTGCTTGGTGCCTCAGTTTCCCCATCATCCGCTGAGGACAGCGGGAATTCCTACCTCTCGGTGCTGTCGTGAAACCTGGAGATTTGTATGCCTAAAGTGGGTTAAAACCGCTGAGGTTCATCGGGCACGCAACATGTGCTGGGTTTTGTGCTAAGGAAATAATGGTTTATCTCATACAGGGCATGACAGGTACATTTCACAAATGGTTATTTAGTTCACTGGCTCCGTGACCCTCTGGGGCGGATACTCACAACTGGCCCATTTTACAGATAAAGATGCTACCGTGCGTGGAGCATCTGCCTGGTGGGTGTGCCGGCAAAGGGGCAGAGCGACTGAACGGGGCACCCGGGGCCCATCACCAGGTGTGTTCCAGAGAGGAAGGCCCTGTCCCCTTGCGCAGGGCTGTGTGGGGCCTCCCAGGGGGACTGCAGCCCCAGTGCCCTTGCACTGGCCCTGGCAGACACCTAGGATCCTGATTTCCTTGTCCTTCTCCTCCTCCTGGGAGACAGTCTCCCCAGGGGGCCCCAAAAGCTTGCAGGAAACTCTTCCTTCTCCCTCCAAGTGACCAAGCAGAGAAGTGAGCCAGCTCCCACCCTCCCCTGGCCAGATTCCCAGTAGAAAGCAGCCCTCCAGTGGCCCTGTCCCCAGGCTGAGGGACCAGGGAGCCGACAGGAACATGGCAGGGCTCTCTGCAGTGTGTTCCCGGGACAAGGGGGTGGAGCCCAGGGCATCCTGGGACCTGGAGCACACCCCACTCCTTGCACCCCTCAGCTGCTCCCCAAGAAGACCTGTGTGAAACAGGTGGGGTCTTCCCCACCCCCAGACCTCTGTATCGGACTCCTCCAGAACCAGGCAGGGGGCAAGCTCATGTGTGCCTTGGGGAGCAGCCGGTGAGGGCTCAAGTTCTTGGGTCTCTGCCACTCAAGTGGGAGACCTGGATTGGGTCTGTAGTTCCTGGCTCTTCCTCTGCCTTTCAAATACATGAAAATAATTTTTTTAATGTAAAATAGGCTCTGGGCATGAAGGCACCAGAGGCAGTGTCCCTCGGGCCCTGGACTATGACCGTCACCACACCCACCCCGGGGGCCTCTTCCTTCCAAACACACTGGTTGCCATCCAGGTCTCTTTCTGGGCCTCTGTACCTGCTGACCCAGTAGGAATAGCCTGCAGCTAATAGGGGCAGCTCAGATGGCACCTGTGGGAGAGGCGTGCCTGCCCACCAGGACTGGCCTACCGGTCCTGCTCTGCCTTCCTCTCCAGGTAGCCACCCTCTGAGCGTCTGGTTCACCGTTTGTCTCTCCCGCTAGCTGCCAGTTCCAGGAGGGCTACTGCTTTCCCAGGTGCATTAGCAGGGAGCTGGACGGGAAGTGGAGCAGCCAGGACACAAACCGGCACCCACATGGGATGCCAGCATCGCAGGCAGTGGCTTCACCCGCTACACCATAGCTCTGGCCCCACTCCTCAGCTCTTGCAATCTCACCTCATTGGTCAGCACAAGCCTTGCCCCTCCCCCAGGCAGGTGGCCAGAGCTGGGGCTCACCCCGCCTCTCACCCCCACCCTCTGTAAGATGATCAGCGAGACGTGGGCCTCGTGGTACCAGCACTTTCATGGTTTCCGCAGGATGCCTATAGCAGGAAGCCTAGAGGTGCGGGGTTGCAGCCACCAGAGCCCCCCACACACCTGGGTCCGGTCATCAAGGGGAGAGACAGGCCCCGTCACTGGGGCAGGGAACCACAGAGCAGAGGCTGGGCCGGAGTCCTGGCCTTGGCCAGATCGCCTTCCCTAACCCAATTTATCACAAGACACATTGATGATAAGGCAGCACAGCGATGTGCTAATGGCTGAAGCCGGCTGTGCCCTTGGTGTGTGCCTGGCTCAGGGTTACATGCCAGCGACATATAGCGTGTGGACACCACCCCAGCTGGCAGGTGGAAGAATGACGCCGACAGGTGCAGGTGGATGATAAGAACTTGGTCCCCCGAGGTGCTGGGGGTGGTGCGCTTAGCACACAGGCACTTGCACATTTGCCCCTCCCCCTGCCGGCACCCACAGGCCCCGGCTGACTCCACAGCATTGATTAGGACGTCAGGAACCATGGTGCCCCTGGGAACAGGACACTGAGTGCCTCCTGCCCCTCCCGCCCCGTCAGGAAGCAAGCATTGACCAGCTCGCCTGCCCGGGAGCTGGCCGCTGACTGATTTCCCAAGCGCGGGGCTGTGACACTCTCACACCCCGCCCTCACCCCCTCCTCCCAGGGCTCCCCTGCAGCTGCAGCTGGGAGGCTGGCTCCTGGCGGTCAGGGGGCAGGAGCCAGGCCAGGCTGAGAGCCAGGACTTCGAGCCATGCTCTCTCTCTCTCTCTCTCTCTCTGTCTCTGTCTCTCTCTCTCTCTCTCTCTCTCTCTCTGTCTCTCTCTGTCTCTCTCTCTCTCTCTGGGCATGTTCTGCATCTCAGGGGTTCTGCCCTGGCTGGGCAGCTTTAAGAGACACGGTTGGTCAGCATCTCCCCAGGTGTAGGCACCCCATTCTGAGACCCTGCCAGCCACTCCTACCCCTCCCCCTCCACCACCTGCTTCCTGTGGGCCTGGAACCATCCCCATGGCCCAGCAGGTGGGAAGTGCCCAGGCCTGGCTATGAGCATGACAGCGATTGGTGGAGGGGGGCAGACATGTGATGGATGCTGACCAATGAGAATCTGCTCTGGGACTTTGGCTGGAGCTGCAGGGGGCAGTGGGAGGGAAGGGAAAAGGGGCTCTGTTTCCCAGGACTGCCGGCTCCACCCCTGAAGTGGACTGAGCCCTGAAATGAGAACCACAGAGAGGAACTCAAGAGAGGGGATACTGGGAGAATCGAGATTCCGTGTGGCTCTGCTGAGCCCTGGAGAGCCACCCCTGTACTTTTTGGACCCGGGGACCAAAGCAGTCCGTCTCTCCATTTAAGAAAGTTCCAGGAGCCCCCAAGGCGGTGGATGGTCTAAGATGGGCAAGGTCTCCAAAACCCCCTCTCCACGTATCCTGCTTCCGGGCGGGGCACTGGGGTCCAGGCAGAGGGCTGCATTTGCCACCTCCTTCTCCAGTTGCACCTCCTCTTTCCTCTTGGAGGGACAGAGCTTCTAGGAAGGCGGACGCAGGAGGCCTGCAGGCCCCAGGAGGACAGGGATAAAGGGCAATACGGGAGGGAGGGAAGTGGCTGCAGCCTCTCAGAGCTAAAAATAGCTTCCCCCAAGGAGGCCTCCCCGCTGGGATAATCCAGCCAATTACCCAGCCCCTCTCCACCCTGGTGGGCACCGCCAGCTTTCCTGCACCACCACCCCCCATCGCGCACCCCACGTGGGGCTGTCACTCCACTGACCGGCCTCTGCCTCGTCACCGGCCATTTCTTCCTCAGCAAGGGGCAGGTCTGGAGCATTGGAGCCCCCAGGCTCCCTGCCACCCAACCCCGGCTTGCCTCCCCCGACCCCGCCACCCAGGCAAGGGATGCTGTTCAGGTCCAAGACAAACAACAGATACGTTTGCACTGGGAACATGACAGATCTGGGAGTTGGGGGGCGAAACTGGGGGGCGGGGCAGGGCCCCCTTGGGAGGGGGGACCTCGCGCACGTGCAGGCTCCTAGCTTCAGCCCTGCCCAGCCATGGCTGCTACAGGCATCTGAAGAGTGAACCAGTGGGTGGGAGATGGCTCCGCTGTGCTCTGCTCTGGCCCGAGCCCCCCCCCCGCCGCCGCCCCCCAGCCCAGGGCGGGCAGGACCTCCCCACTCCTCTGCTCTGAGCTGGCACAAGAGAGCTGGGCACAAGTGCAGGTCCTACAGCTTCCGGGCTGCTGCGTCTGAATTTTGTACAGAAAGCGTCCATCGCTTCAGCAACGGTTTGTTTGTTTGT